CCTCTACTTTCTTTTCTCAAATATGGCGAATATAATGCTAACATTATTGAAACTTGTGCATTATTGCATTTTTGAAGAAACTCGAAATCGTTTCTACACAACACTATGTATCCATAAGACGTTTGCGAATAATAATAACATGAATGACGTTGCTGTGACGGGCATTCTTGATGGTATCGACTGCGATTAAGAGTGTGCGCCATATTGCATAGTTTTGGCAAGTTATCATTACTAATAATCATTGATTTCAGATGACTATTATACAGCCGAGGGACCGAAGGTTTCAGCCACGGAAGTACTCCTCCACAAAAGCGCTACTGCAAACGATGGTAACACGCTACCTTGTGGAACTGAGAAGCCATCGAGGTGAATTGATAATCTTACGTGATTCATTAATTGTTATGCATGTCAGACGAAAAATGAATGACTACCTATGCATCTCTGAAGAACTAGATGTTACTGAAGTGAAAGCTGCATGTATCACAGTCGAATTTCCAGTTGTCAAAATTTTGACTGGGAACTTTACTTCTATAGCTAAGTAAGTATCTATTGAGTACATGCTCATGAAGCACATAATGGAAAACAGAGGTGTTCACACCACCGCCTTTATCTACTTCAAAGACATTTAATGAATATAAGTGTAAATATGACAGCAAAAGTTTGCAATATGGCGACACCAAAATTATTCTGAAAGTAGTCAGTGGTCTGTCTAACAAGTTAGAAAAACTGACTACTCACATCAAAAGCTCATCCGTGTGCGTAAGGGACAGGAACAGAGACAGCATAGACACTTCAAGTTGAACATTCCCTTTAAAAACACCTGAGGAAATGAGTACTATTGAGACTGCTTCGAAGGAGCACTAGTTTCATGTCCAGCTCGTAAGTTGTGACAGCTGTCTGTAAAACTTCGACTGGTCAGATTGTCCGGGGTTGTAAGTGATGATCTCCGGAAGTCAACCAAAGTACGTCTAGCTTACGGCCTGATTCCGTAACTGTTAATCACTTATACCTTATGTGGAACTAAAAATAAAATAGGTATCAGTAATCACAGATCCTACAAAACTATTCAAAGCAACTTCGTATCACAATCTTAATAAATGCACAGATATTCTGTGTTCACAGTTCGGTAGCGCAACCTATCTATATAAAGAAATAACACAAGTCATGAATGTTGCGAACCAGGCTTTCTTACATGACTCAAGAGATTAAGTCAATAAACGTTGGTGGTGACCGAAAGACTAAATGTACTTTTGATCTGTAATTGAGTATCTATTCCTGATTTTGTATTACTTTCTGAAAAACATTTAAAGTGAATGAATTTTATCCAGTTTATCATATTTCAATTGGCTTCTCAAGTACTAACGGACATCACTGTAAATTTTTAAATCACCAAACATTTTTATAGTACAATTGGCAAGTAATTAAAGTATAACATAAAATTATGGATTAAAAATTAAGATTGCTATGACACAAGACATTCTTTTATTTACTATCAGCAATTCCGATGCCTTGATACTGCGTTTCTAATGCGGAAGAACGACGTTTTGAAGAACATCACGAACGGCAGTCCAAGATTAGCCTCGTACACACACTACAATATCCTGCATGGTGTCGATGACTTGGTTGTTTTTAATACTAGAGGTACAACCAACCTTGGAATTAGGCTTTCTAAGTTTTTATTGACTGCTGCCGTTTGGAATGTAGGAAACAGAAGAGACTTCCTTTCTCTACCTTTTTTTCTAACAAACTACCCTACTTCTGTTGGCCCACGTATTTCGATCGACACTGATAATATTTTAGGTAGTTTGACATCGATTTGTGTATCAGCCGAATGAATACCATTCGGTGTCTTGATTATGCCTGCTAATACTCCTTCTAACAGCATTACCAATTGTACTGACTTCGGAGATAGAGCTGCTTGCTCCCGAGCAACACTGCTGAGACAACCACAAGCAACTGATTTTATTAAACCGTCTGAAAGCTACATGTATTAAATTCGTATAAACTTCGTGATGAAATCAATTGCAATCATAGCACTGCATGTCACCTTCCAAACAGTATCGGCGGCCTGAGTGTTGACAGTTGCTTTCTCTGCACTGTCCGATTATCAATCAGAAAATAAGAGAATAGAAATGAAGGAAACGTGAAAAACATAAATGGGTCGGTAAGCGTATTTGTGAACACAGGACAAGAAAGAGCGACTGTATGTGTATGACTGTATATGTATGCCAAATGAATGACAAAAAGAAAAAAAGATTTAAAAAATAGAGCAAAGCGGAGAAGGCAGATGAACTAACTCAGTTTTATCAAGCGCCACTCGATATTTATGGTCAGACAAAAATAGGCTATAGACGCGTGATAATAATAATATATTTCTGCGAGGGCAGGTGCAAACCATTTTTACAGGCACGATCTACAAGTTACAACATATACTGGTTCTCAGTATGGATCACAAGCAGGGTTGTTTAGTAAATATAATCTATAAAAGTTAATAGCGGTTCATTAGTTCAGATATACTTTGTATTCTTCAAAATATTCTCCGAAAGAGAATCGCGTCCACGTCACACACCAGATCTAATCTCGGCAAAAGTTGTACCAGGGTTTTGCTCGGGCTAAGTATTTGTGTAATGCAGCTTTTAAAGTTTGTAGTTGTTATAACTAGACTTGTGGAGCGTCTGGTGCGAACTATGACCTTGGGAAAGCGCCTACGTCGAGTTTGTTCCAGATGTCAGAAGTCCCTCAACTTCGGACTCAAAGCAAGATTCTGAAGTGCTGTTGTACCGCACTGAAAACACAAAAGTGAAGCATATGACTCCATTCTGTTTCTTATTGATACTCTCAATATGTTAGAAATAACTAAAATCAGTCATGTGGAAATCATATTAGAGAAGTTATATGGGGAACACTAATACGAAGCGTGTTGAAAATGGTATTTTGAAGCAAAACTCATACACCTAGGGGGTTCTCTTCGATATTTATTCACAATCTTATAACATTTTGGGGAAACCCATCTACATTCTGCAATTGAGCCCGAATATTCTTCCCAATTTACGGGACATTCTGCACTACTTTCAGTTCTCCCCAATACCTCGTTCGGAAAGACCCCGGGATTACCGATTGTACAGAAAAGCCTACAGGCGTAGCAAAAAATATTCACAATTCGCTATGCATCTATTCAGCGTTCTTCGGTTAACTTCGTAAAATTGACCCATTTTTAAAGTAATTAAACCACAATCGGTTCAGCTTCTTAACGATTTTCATTACGTTTCCTTTTGGATTGTAAGTCCTCTGTAGTACTGCCTGAAGACCTGGAAAATGCTACTTTAATGCATTAATAAAATTTATTGTACGTGGGTAGGCATAAATTCAGACTGTGACAAAGACTGTCTCACGTTCATGGTGCAGTGAGTAAGAAGCTGTAATGTCTGGTAATATCAAGCTGACATGAGTTATTCTTGCTCTTGGACAGACTGATTTATTCATTCTTTTCAAGTCGCATTTAACAGCCAAGCGGATACGCCTACTGGATGATAGTTCTCAGGTTTATGTCTCGTTCCAATTTTGAAGATAGGACTTACAATAACATTCTTCGAGTCTTTTGGTAATCGATTCTGGGTTAAAGATAGATTAAAACATGCAATAAAGGGATTCGTGGCAAAATTTGCAAATTCCTTTAGTAACCTTGGATACGTTTCGTCGAGTCCTATGGATTTGTGTACCTCAAACTCATTAAACAGACCAAAGAAATCGAGTACTTTAATGGTCACAGTGTGTGAGGGGGGGTTGTGTAAACTAAGGGTAGGTGTCTCTACGGTATATACATTTTTAAAGTAGTTTGAAAATGCCTGAACTTCACTATAGTCGTTCTTCACTAATGATGGAGCACTACTGCCTCTCCATAGTGCTGGAATATTTTTGCTTAATTTAGTCCTTGAATTTATATACGAATACAAACTCTTGAGGCATTCTATAGATTCTTTAAGTTTTTTCTTCGTACAACCTTCTAAACATACGGAGGGTCGAGGCACAAGTATTCCGAGCTTCTAGATATTGAGATTTTGTCTTTCCCACATTCTCCTCTTACGGATAGGTGCAAAAACCTCCTTACTGAACCATAGGGGAAATTTTCTCGGACCTCTTGGTGTAGTTCAAGGGATGTGAGTTGCACTAACTTGTAAGTATTAATTTCGAAATACATCTCAAGCTGTTTCAATTGGGGACTCTGGCTATATTGCCCAATCTACGGACGATACTGAGTGTAAAACATCTTTTAAACTCGCTATGCGAACGTCTGGGCTGGGTTGAGCTGATGCATGCTCGTTTTTGACAACTGTATGGAAGTCAAAGGTCAGAACTTCATGATCATTTTTACCTAGAGGTGGCATGTAATTGAGGTTCGTGTTGTCACCCTCATAATGTGTCTGGGTCGTACCTAGTCACTTCTTTCACATGTTGCATTTGGGCATATGTGATAACAGCATCAACTTGTTCCTGCTCCAAGGAATTTTAAAAAATCAGTTCTCAGATTTTTCTAGCCTGCTGTGGCTTCATTAAAGCCCCCTAGGATTTAACATCGACCACTTGATGACCAAGTATTGAGACCGTCTAGCCAAACCGCATTTACTTCACAGCTTGGACAGCAGTAGAAGAAAGAACCAGCAGCTCTTATCCCTTGCGTTTTAAGCGTCTACTAACCTATTCACACTTCCCACTCTCATGAGATACACTGTCGATAATGCTAAGTGGGATAGTATTCCTAATGATCAGAGTTACTTCCCTACGCACTAGACCACGAGTGGAAACGCCGTGCTCAACATACCCTGCAATCGCTAGCCAGATTAGATCAGCCGATCTACGATATATTGATAACCTATCAAATATACCTTCGAACCTCCTCGCTTCTGTTTTTGATTAGCTTGGTGGGTACGATTCAAATCGAATGTGTTACTCGTTGAAGCTTTGCCAAACTCCGAATAGCGGCGGCATCCTTCAGTATCACTGTCCTTTAAAACAACGAGCGTCGTAAAATTCTGAATTTTTTCTGGAAATCTTTGCTATATATGAAGATGTTTGAGATCTTGTAGGTAATACAAACAGTCTTCTACGTTAATCGTCTTGAAAGTTGAAAAAAAGATAGACGTTCGAAAGGTTACAAAATGATACACAGAATGTTAACTGTGCGAAATATAGTTCAACTGCACTCAGTATCTCACAGAATATAGTAATCTCGTTTATTTAGGCAGCTAATGTAAGTCATCAGTGGAACTTGAAATTCTGAGCACTTAAGTTCTATCATATCAGTACTCTAGGGTTCGCATAAGGCGGGATTCTAGACTTTTCGAAATGGCGATGAGAGTACGTTCTCGTATTCAGTTTATTACCTCTTCATTACAGGTTAGTGCACGATATTTCTCGTTATTAAGCAAACCTCGTGAAAAACCTGCGTTCGCTCATGAGCTTCAAAAAGCAATGGGAAAGCTGGACATCGAGGGGAAACCTGGCGGGCTGTTGGATCCAATAAAGATTGATAACCCAGGAAGACTGGCCGTAAAAATGGTTGCATTTATGTGTCTGAGTTTCTTTCAGCCATTTGTGGTGACATACTTGCACCTGCGGGGCGGTTGATCCACTTGACTTAATATTTATGATCTGTAGTTAATCAAGTTAGAATCATAAAATGTCTGGTTTTTGTGTATTGTTCAATCTGAAATCCTTTTCTTTTGTATTAACCTTTTGAATGATTACTTGGCAAATTCGTGTTACATATTAACATTTGCTTTTGATTGAGAGATCTAAAATTTGTGTGGTTACATTAAGTATACTTTAAGCATGATTGCTGCCAACATTGTCAGGCTACCTCGAAATGCATTAGATGAGTCGCATGTTAGATCGAAAATTCACCTGTTTTTGCGTATAGTCTGGTTGAGGTCCAAAGGCAGGCTGAAGAGTCATTCAGCTTTTGTTTTTTGTGACGTCTAATGTGAAGTGAATAAACGTCAGCAGTCTAAGGTCTGTAATTATATAGCTTCTACATGACTTTCAATAATAACACTCCTCACATCCTACAGGAAATTCTTAGACTGATGTCTAAACATAACTAGCCATTGGGACTGTATAGTTATTTAAAGAGGTCAAACGGGGATGATAGTATCTTGGCGATTAGATAAGTATAAGCCACACTAAGCTATCTGGTATAGATGCCCATGCAAAGCTGAGGCCGGGATACTTTTATCTCAACAATGAGACTAGTAGCCGCGCAAGTTTTAAAACATGGATCGCACGCCCCACCTGTGTGATGCGTTCCTAACTAAGTGATTATTGTAACGTATCCTATTTGTGTCAGTACGCAACTTCCGACGAGGGATGCTAGGGCTCGCATTTTGCTTCGACTCATGCTTCTGTTTATCTGTGCTCAATGGCTATAAGTGCTTGCTTTTATAGTCATAGTGAGGTGTTCGTTTGACAATCTTCTACTTGTTCTTGTGAAAATAGTAATCTGATTTCACCGTACAAATTATTTATTTATTTAAATACATATATATTGGTACAAAAGGGCACCAGGTACATATGCGCCACACAAAATAATGAAAGTAGGAAGAGAAGGGATGAAAAGATAAGGCGGACTAAAATGTACAACCAGAAGACTCTTTCAAATAGGAAAGTAAGAACCATACTTTATGTAGAAAGTAAAAGAAGGTTGCAGCAGGATCGCCACTGGTTTCTATTCTGAGCCATATCTGATAACGTCTCTAGCCACTGTGTTGCACCATCTCTCGAACCCCAACCAAGGAGTCGTGAAGGACCAACGGAAGCTAGCCCTTTGCAGCTCTCTTTCATGCCACGACACCATGTCATACACTGACCTCCTCTCCGCTTTTTCCAACCAGTCCCAGGGTCGGCAAATAATGCACGACGTGGAAGTCTCTGGGACGACATTCGTAAAACATGTCCAAGCCACCGAAGTCGGTGTTTCAAGGTGGTGACACCAATTGAATTATCGTCTCTGTGCCCGAACACACGATGCCGAACCTCTGCATTACTAACATGGTGTTGCCACTGGATGTCAGCAATCCTTCGGAGACAACGATGATCGAACACAGAGAGACGTCTAACATCCTCAACTCGGAGAGGCCAGGTTTCACAAGCATAGAGCAAAACTGCTCTCACCGACGCGTTGTAAATCCGACTTTTTACAGCCAGACTAACATCACGAAGGCGCCAAAGATGGCCCAGATTGGCATAAGCCGATCTGGCTTTCCTTATACGTGCATCAATCTCATCACTCACGCCACCACCAGCACTTATATAGCTACCTAGATACACGAACTTCTCAACTACTTCGATCTGCTCACCATCCAGGGTGAGTACAGGATTAGAATCCTGCCAGTCTTGTAGAAGTACTTTGCACTTGGAGGGTGCAAAGCACATGCCGTACCTGCGGACACTGATTGCCAACTGATTAAGTGCTGATTGCATGCCTTGGGCATTATCGCACAGTAAGACAATATCATCCGCATACTCAAGGTCGAGAAGTCGTTCTCCAGGCAACATATCCACACCGCCATTACTTACATCCATCAGAGCTGTTTCCAAGATGTCGTCGATGGCAAAGTTGAAGAGGAATGGTGAGATCGGGCAACCCTGCCTAACCCCACTGCTCGAATGGAACAAGGGAGAAAGGTGGTTGTATGCCCTCACTCTGCCTGAGGTGTTCGTGTACAGGGCCTTTAAGATGTTAATGAACTTCTCAGGCACACCCTTCTTCAATAGACAATCCCAGAGAACAGTCCTGTCCAACGAATCGAAGGCAGCCCTGATATCAAGAAACACTACGATTGTTGGCCTGCGATAAGTATGACGGTGTTCTAACATTTGGCGGAGGGTGAAGATGTGATCAATGCATCCTCGACCAGAACGAAAACCAGCCTGCTCCTCGCGAGTCAATCGTTCTCGGGTTTTAAACAACCTACGAAGAATGATAGAAGCCAATAGTTTGGACGCAATCGGAAGTAGACTTATCCCCCGATAGTTATTGCAGGAACAACGCGAACCCTTTTTAAAGACAGGGACGACTATTGACTCATTCCATGATGTTGGAACACTTTCTTGCTCCCAAACCTTTCCAAACAACACAGTCAATTCCTTAGTCAGAAAGTCGCCACCATCTTTAAAAAGAGCCGGAGGTAAGTCATCTGGGCCAGGTGATTTGTAGCGCTTCAAGAGTTGGAGTTCCTTGCGGACTTCCGCCTCGTTCGGTGGATCAGTCGTCACCGGCCGTGGGGGGCAGGACAAGCTGGTTGATGTTGCCGGAGCAGCAGGCCAGTTGAACTGCCCTTCGAAAAATTCCGCCCATCGTCCAAGACGTCGCGAGATGTTAGTGATTGGCATCCCATCATCCTCGTAGATTGTTTCACTCACACCAGACTTCTTGCTGCCAGTGGCTCGGATGAGTTGGAAGAGCTTCCGGCAGTTACCAGATGCAGCTGCTGCTTCCATCTCATTAGCACGCTCCGACCACCAGGCTTCCCGGTCCTTACGCAAGCTTTGCCCAATTTCATTACGTAACAGCCTTCGTTTGTGGTCAAACTCACGGTCACCCGGAGTAGACCGACGGGCTTCCATCAGTTGTAAGGAGCCAGAAGAAACCCAGTGCTTGTAAGCGGGACGTTTCGCGAAGCCGCAAGCGGCTTTACTCGCCATTTTCATGCCGTCGTGAAGATGCAACCAATGCTCATCTATACTTTTCGGCGGGGTGGTAGCTAGACTAGAGGCTAGCTCCGCTCAATACTTACTTGCAACAGAAGTTGCAGCCAGTTTACTAATATCAATCCGTTGGTGGTGGTCAATCCTTCGGCTACTGAAAAGTAAGGTGAGATTGGCGCAGACCAGGGCATGATCAGACTCCAGATAGGTACTCCAAAAGGAGCGGCAGTCTTGTACACAACCACGCCAGCGGTAGCTGATCGCGATGTGATCAATCTGAGTCCATGCTTGGGATGCAGAGGGAGGACGCCAGGTGGCACACCGGCGATGACTGTGCCGGAAGTTAGTGCTGGCCAGAAACAGGTTGTGGTCTGTGCACAGTTGCAGCAAACGGTCCCCGTTATCTGTCCTGCGACCAACAAGTCGCCATCGGCCACCTATATGACTCTCTTCTGTGCCTAGACGCCCGACCTGTGCATTCAAGTCTCCGGCTAGTACTACAATATCTGTCGAACGCGCTTTCTGGAGAAGAACTGTTAACTGGTGGTAAAACTCATCCGGGCTGCAATCTGTTGGGGCATAGGCGGAGATGACGAAAAGACACCGTTTCTCACGCCGATTTCTTCTCACTTTGATGGAACTTTCTAATCTAACAACACATAACCGACTGTTAATGGGGATGCAATCGATTAGTGCTGTATCAGCCCTAGCGCTTAGTGCGACACCAACGCCAGCAAGACCAGACGAAGATGCCACAGGGTCCCCGGATAAGCGCACGTGGAACAAGCTTTTCGAGACAGATGGAGAGCGGATTTGTAGTACTTCACTAGAGTCTTGAATACGGGTCTCGGATAGACAGCAAACATCAACATTAAGACTTTCTAAAGACATAGCCAGCCCTATCTGTTGTCTGATCTGCATTAGTGTGCGAACGTTGAAGGAAGCCAGCTTGAACGGCGTACGCGGTTTCAGAAAGACTGCCTCAGTATTCATTATCGGTGGAAGCATTCACTTTCAACCAGACAGTGACTGGAGATCGTTTAGATAGGACAGATTTTCCACCAAGAGCGAGCTGATGCATAAGTTGAAGAGTAAGGTTACACAAATTGGGGGTAAAAGGGGGTGAATTAGCGATATGGTAAGTAATAATAATAATGATAATAATAACGTAAATTGTCTTGCTTATAATATGAGCAGGAATAGAAACGTCAATAGAGTTCGTCATTTCATTCATTTGTGTGTGGGCTGTGATACTGCCCGGGTGCCCAAACCGAAGCAGGTGGTTTTCTTAGGGGGCCACACCCGGAGCCTTTGACCTAAAGGTCTGATCCACAAGGCAGTGGAGCATCGTGAGGAGATGCAGTCCCATGGTAGTCGTTGACCAATGACAGGTTCTTCCGCCATTCGTTCCATCAGGAAACTGGAGCCCATGTGCACCATTGGTTTGGAATCAGGGTTTTCCAACTCCCCTAGGTGGACCCTCCGTGTCCACCAATCCGGTTATAGCGCCGGACATTCGCTTCTCGTCCTCTCACTTTCGTAAACAACACCCCCGCCACGAGAAGGCAGTGAGTAGGACTTCCCTGGCAGAGGCTATATATTCGCTGGCCATATGAGAGCATTTCGAGAGGGAGAGTAGACTCTCCCCACTCTCGGCCGTACCAGGGCATTTGGGGGCTATACTTGACCCTTTAATACTTAGCGGTTCCTGCTCTCGTTCTTACATTGAGAAACCTATAGTTTTTGTGGAATCAATGTAGGATAAGAAAATATGAGTCTGCGTTGATATTCTTTCACGAACTGCTTGCTTTTGAAAAACCAACGCTCTGACCATCCAGGTCCACTTAATCAACATTCTAAGATTCATAGAACTTGGTCACTGCTCATCGTTTGGCTGGAAACATTAAACTAAAGGTGTTATTATGGTCGAGTTTCGAAGGTACTGGGACGTTTGAGACTATCTAACAGGTTGCTCATATCTTTACTGTCCAACTACTAGACTGCTGCATTCCTATGTTCCCACACGGAGCCTCTTTTCGACCCGTTTTCTACCATAATGTGACACATATATCTGGTGCCCCCTCGTACCGACATTTGCGTTTAGAGACATAAATTTTTGTCACGATCGCATTTCAAGTATAATCCTAAAGTTATAGTGTATTGCAATCTAATAAACCGTATATGTAAATTGATATGCTAGAAAGAGATGACAGTACTACCACTTGTGGTGTTTTACCATTGAATTAAAGGTTAGTCTAGAAGTGTACAACTTCAGAGCCAATAGAAGTCAGTACTATTTTTGACCTTAGCCTCTAGCTTCACTTAACCAGTTAAAAATTAGGAAGTTAGCGACAGCAGAAAAGTGGTATGTGCGAGGGTAGGCAGATAAAGAAAGTACTCACAAGTTGTTTTTAAGGTACAGTATGCGTGCTAGTCGCAACAGTATGCTATAGGCCGACACTATCATTCAGATGGCAAAAAATACCTTGGTCGACCAACACTTGTCGGCTCTAAACGTTGACTGACACGAGGCAGTCGTTAGAAGTATGAAATAACTGTCATGCTTTTTTATCCGTTGATGCTTTCATTGATGAGAATTGTTGGGTGGTATACCGAATCTATTTTGGTAATTAGGTACGTACTGTCCTACACTTCTGTATAGAAATTTATTACTTAAGCGGACATTTACTTAACACAGGTGGATATTCATATCCCAAAGTTCCTTTCTTTGCACTGCCTGTTGAGGCGTATACTTAATGTGAGCAGTTACGTCACTATGGTCATTTTATCCTAAGCTAGCTTACCAACATTTGATCACTTGAATGCCTAAACGTATTACACATATTGCGGCCATTCATTAATATGGAGCTAGTAAGAGGACGTTTGATAGTCAGTAGCTCTCCAATGACGTTTTACAGATGTTTGCACTTTCTGTGTATGCAGTAGGGTGAATGCTTAGTGTTGTTTGCGTACACCCACATTTCTTTACCAAATGCTTCGTAATTGACTTATATAATCCTCCAGTTTGATTATCGAGAGCAAAGTAATTAAGCTTGACCACTCATTCTGAAAGTCTCGAGTTTGTTCAATTAGTGGCTTTTGCTAACTTGTACTAACTGTGGCGTAGACAGTTTCTACTGTCCTGTAGAAAGATGATACTGCCAGGGAGTTGTAAAACATGACCTTTTAAAGGAACGGACATGAGTGGGTCAGTATGATTAGATCAATAAGGTTTTTGGAGAATTGCATATTTGTGAAATTACCAATTAACCGATGGTAGATCTAATCATGAGACGTTTAGCGGCTTGATACTGACGTAAAATCAGTGATATGTACTTTTAAATAAAGATCATATGGTGTTCAGTGCTGCCAAGATTGTCTTAGCTTTTCTTACATGTAATCAAATGTTTTTGAATAGATAGGACAAATACAGTTCGCAGTTGTGACCGAACTCTCACTGGGTGTCCAGCAGTAGGGCGTTAGTGAATTTCTAAATTGATTATTGTTATCGTGTTATACGAACATATGTCTTATAATATCGACATAAATTTAGCAAGGATGAGATATCGATAAATTACAGAGCTCTTTTCTATTGAACAAAAAGATGGTTTCCATTTTGGTGAAACTACCTACCAACTGAACGGATGAAAATAAATGGGCTTTGAGATATAGCTTAGAGATCGAATATATATATATATATATATATATATATATATATATACAAGTTTATATATCAGTTAATAATTCATTAGGCGATTGCTGATGTTTCCACGTTATCGGATGACTAGGATTGACGGTCTAGCTGCTCCTTTAATAATTGATCTCGAGCAGCGGTCTTTTTGCCTCTTGTTATAGCCTCTGCGAATAATGCACAAAACAAACGTACTGCTGTAGGGCTATCGTCGTTACCAGGCACAGGATAGCTAATTAATCTGGGGTCCGAATTCGTGTCAACTACACCAATGGTTGGGATGAGCATCTTTGCCGCATCTCGAACAGCAGAATGAGGTCTGGAGATTGAATTACAGGTACTGAGAAAAAGAATTAAGTCAGGGAGCCTCACAGAGTCATGAAAAACATCTGATGAGTTTGTAAATACTCCACCTTCCCATTTGCGGCAGTAAGAATACTCGCCGATATTTTCAGCAGTTTTTTCAATTAAAGGCAACATCTAGCAATAAAAGGATAAAGTAGGTTAAGATTAAAACAGGCAGCGATAAGACAAATTGCTACAAAGAAAACTATGTGGCTTCGACTATGGTACAAATCAGCGGAAAATCAATATAGTTGTGGTGAAATATAAAGTTGCCACAACTCATCAAGACAAAAGGATTGATATGAAGGGAGTCGAATGATATTAGTAACAGTGAGCCAAAAAGTAATAAGCTACGATAAGAAACCGAAAGCATATAACAATATGATGCTAAGAAAAGAATTCATACCACTATAAGTTCCTAAGAATCATCACTTGGATTATTCAGCTACAGACGTTTGGTTTGTGCAACAACCTTTGATTCTGAATTGGTCTATAAGGATAAGGCAACAATAGATAACGTAAGGTTCAGGATGAGGATGTAACGATCCAGTTTACCACGCTTCACGTTAACACGTCAATGAGGACGACAGGATGAAAAACAAAAGAGGAAATAATGCGAACGGCGGCGCAAGACTGACCACCGTCGGACCTTACGTTTTCTGCTACCAGCTTAATCGCTTTTTAAACAACGTGTAGAACTCCCAGGGATAGAAGTCACATCCAGTATAGCTCGAAATATAATTGATTCAGGTTGTTCTGATACGTTTGTTATTCTTGCTCTAAAGAGATTCACGAATGGGAAAAGTTGTATGTAATAAAGCTCGGTTCGTAAGTCAAAATAGACAAGCCAGATAACTGTTTCACAATAACGCATGCGGTCGGGTAGAGGAGATTAGTTTTTTCAAAACAATACATTCCTTATCAACATGATACCATAGACTCGTTTATCCGAGGTGCACTGCACCTCTGGCAAGATCGTAATTATTATTTGTTTATAAACTTAACTGGCTAAGACAACAACATTAATGGTTTATGTACTCATCTTAACGATATTTTATTCCAGTTAGTAACTAAAATGTCAGTTGCAAAAGAGGAATTGATCTACTTACTTGTTTATTCTGGTGCATAAAAAGTATTATTCCTTGACGGTAGGCAATGTGGGCAGCGAAATTAAGTGCATCAAACATTAAGGAACATGTCTGTTGTAGATCAATTATGTCTATTCCCTGTCTACAACCGTATATGTATGGCTTCATGTATTCATTGCGTAACACCGATCGGTGACCCAAATGAACACGAGCTTGGAACAAATCCGTAACATTAACCAAGTTTTTAAGACCAAAATAATCAGAACAACTTAGAGGATCCTCGCAATAACTGGAATGTGAACAGTTGTTTTGTTTGAGTTTCTCAAATCCACTTGTAGTTACGTTTTTCCTGAGGAACAAAAATGTTTCTAAAACCACAACAATGTATTAAAATATATCTCACAACACTGTGAATAAGAACAACAAAATGATTAACATTCTACGACTGGAAAATATCGAAATCCCCAAAAGCGGGTACGTGTAACATGTGTTGTAACCATTTCAGTCAATTAAAAACCAGTCCACACTTACTTAGTAACTTATGTCTAACCTCAATACTACTTATTCGATTATTGCACTGTGCATCAAAAATGTTTTGAAGAAGTCTCTCGTTGGATACTACTGATCTACGCGCGTCTTCTATTTATCCCATGCTTGATAGCAATCAACTACAAGGAAGTGTTTACGTATAGTATACTTGCCATTTTGTAAGCAGACCAACAGCTTACGTAAATGAGGTTAGCGAAATCCAGAGGGACTTGAATTTGGACGGCATTTCGATATCCACTAGAGCTAATGAGATTTCTAACGTAAGTGGAATCGTTCACGTGTTCAGCTCTTTCACTTGCTTTTCTCAGATTAGGGGTTGATATGCACCACTTCTAAAGAAACATTCTGTACTCAGAGATGGAGAAATATATCGCATGAATTCTCAGGCATTTGTTGAAAAGCATTCAAAAGATTGCATTCTGCTAGCGTTTTCGCCAGACAGAACTATGTTATTTGTGTACTACGTTCACTGAGTGTCTTCAAATGGGACAGAAATTGCTGGAAAGTTATCGAGGAAAATGTTACTTCTAGGTACATATAGGACAGAATCTAATACAGACAGACAACCCTGGAAAACGTAAATTGAACTGGAAGTTCGCCACAAGCTCTAGATTTGATAACGAGTCATTAATTTACCGTGTTTTTTGGTACACATAGTGACAAACACTGCCAAAAGGCTCTTTAGGTGAGCTTCGCTTTCCTGTCTAAGCATTGGTTATTACATGGACACATATACATCGGCACAGGTTGCCACGCCATATCAGAACAAGATGAATATCATAGTAGAGATGGTAGTATTATCAGTGATACTTAAAAAACATTGGTCATAAAGAATATAACTCCTCCAGTAACCCTTATATTCAATCAGTCAGCTACAACATAAGACCAGGCACCTATATGCATCGGTTCAAGTTGCCATAGTCTCATTAACACAACAAGATGAACAGCAAATTCAGAGAAGTTAATTTAATTCTAGTTCAAAGCCCGGATAAAGATAGTTAGTTATGAGGTTAGAAACCCGATTCCGTAAAAAACAACTTTGCTAAATAACGCTAGCCATAGAGAATATGATTTCGGTCTAAGAATACGACTATGTATGTTTGCTTTCTAAAAGCTAACGATGGATAAAGACTTCATCAATGCACAGATCCTCATACCCATGACCTGCTTGTTCCCCAAGCTTCATTTAGGTGTCAACGAGTATCAAAAGTATACCTTATAAGCCAGTTCAAATGATTTGTTTTTGATTATCGAAAATGAAATTTTATTCCTGCTTAAAGATGGGTTACACAACGTTTGAGATCAGTAAGATGGGATAGTTTTGAGTTTCCAGGCCTCACTTTTATCTAATTATTTAATACATGAATAAGTACTCCAGAGAACACCTAAGGTTATTGCTGATCAGAAACTCAGGTACAGGAGGGTTGGAAAACAGAACGACAAACCCACCTAGTGAAAAAATTACCTCACTAAACAAACTCCACCCAAAAATACATTTAAACTATACCCCGGAAGTTGAAGGGCTTTTAAATAAAGGTTATGACGTCCCGTGGTGAAAGCCGAGATTCTTTAAAAGCCAACAGCCCAATTTCCTTTCTAACAGACGAGGAAACAATCAATAGACGTACACGGAACGTCCGAGCGACCAGCGTCTGGGAGGGTTATTAGAATAGCAGCGGAAATGAGAAAATATAGCATGTGTTCAGAATAACTGAACACATTGAAAAGAAATCTGAGATGGAAAGAACTGTCACTTTATTCTGAACATAAAGGAGAAAATGCCGTCACAAATGGTGTTGCACTAACGCTGCCCAAAGAAGCACGAAAAGCACCTATAGAATGGGAAACTGACGCCTGACGCATAACTAAGTTAGTCAGTCAGCTACAGCGTAGGACCAGGCACATTTATGCATCGGTCCAAGTTGCCATACCTCGTTAGCACAAGATGAACACCGAGTTTATAGAAGTAGTTAATTTAGTGGTGGTAGTATATAAGGATATAGTATAGAAAGGAAGAAAGTTATGAAGCAATTTTAATCTCAAGGTTTAAGGGAAAATAAAGAGTGTATACACCTGCGCCATTGTGATCGATTCTGAGCCATGTCACCTAGAGTCTCCAACCATTGGTTACGATGATCACGCGGACCCCAACCAAGTAGTCTGCACCTACCAACTTGGCTCAGACTAGAACTTAGTGCTCTGATGCCACATTTTGGTTTGGTCGCCCCTAACTCTCTTTCAACGAATAACCAAACCACCTTTTCAAATAAAATAGAAGATTACAACTGATGTCATCCAGTGCTACTCATGTACCAATAAAAAAAGTGATGATGAAGACTAATTTTATGAAAAGCTGCAGCCTACGTTACAGAAATATCTAAAAAAGCACCTGATTGTTTTGATCGGGGATCTCAACGCCAAGGTCGGGATGGGAAACACCAGGTATGAAAGCATGGGGTGACATAGGCCGTGAGAAAGAAACAGGGATGGAGATACGCCAGTCAATCTGCGGAGTAAGGAGATATGAAAGAACTACGTGACACAAACAAAAAAATATAGCAGATTACATCGACAAGTCGGAAACAAACAAGGAAAACCAACTACTGAGGATCAAGAGCAGCGGAACAGGAGGGTAGAGCACTTTGAAGAGCTTTTGAGTGGATCAATACTACCGAACCTGTCGGACATCTAAGCACCATACACAAGCCTTCCTATAGGTGACACTATGGAGAATGCGAGAAGATTGTCAACAACATACAGAACTCCTACGAGGGACTACACTTTGAACTCACGCATGAATTATAGATCACAAATTCATTCTAAATGAGGACTGGTGTCAGATAAGGCTCCCTACTCTCACCTTTTCTCCCGACAGCTGGTGATTGTATTATGGAGACCTACAAATTTCAGGAAATTCGCGGAACACAATAGACGTCTTAAACGTAGATGGGTGATTTGAACATTGCAGGTGACGGATCTCTGTCTCATACGCAACAACTAATAGAGGCGAAGACAGCCAGTGTGGCAGCGACATCCGTAGCAATAAGCCTTAGCGTTCACAAGAGAAAGAGCCAGATCCTGAAGTACGGCACAGCGAGCAACAACTAAACCACACTTGATGGCGAAGCTCTGGAAAGGGTAGGAGTCCTCACGTACAAACAACTGTTTACACAAGATACTTCAGGCCAATTTGTCAAAGATCATCAGTAATAATCTACACCCCCAGGGAACATTATTTATTATCTAAACATATAAATATTGATACAAGGAAGCACCAGATATATATGCGCCACACAAATCTCATTTGATTTGTGTGAGGGCTGTGATACTGCCCAAGTGCCCAAACGGAAGCAGGTGGTTTCCCTAAGGGATCACACCCGGAGCTTTTGACCTAAAGGTCTGATCCACAAGGCAGTGGAGCATCGTGAGGAGATGCAGTCCCATGGTAGCCGGTGACCAACGATTGATTAAAACGCCATTTCATCCCTCAGGATACTGGAGCCCATGTGCATCATTGGTTTGGAATCAGGATTTTCCAACTCCCCTAGGTGGACTTTTCGTGTCCACCAAACCGGTTGAAGCGCCAGACATTCTCTTTTCATCCTCTCAATTTCGTAAACAACACCCCCGCCACGAGAAGGCAGTGAGTAGGACTTCCCTGGCAGAGACTATATATTCGCGTGGCCATGTGAGAGCATTTCGAGAGGGAGAGTGGACCCTCCCTACTCTCGGCCGTACAAGGGCATTTGGGAACAAACGATCTTTCAACTGAGGAAACTAGAGAAAGACGCTGGAGGTGAACAGGACGCACTTTACAGAAATTATTAAACTGAATAACAAGGCAAGCACTAACATGAAACCTCAAAGGCGAAAGGAAGGGTGGTAGATTAAAGAGCACGTCGCCGAAGTTTGGGGATGGACGTCAACACCACGAGCAGCACGTGCCAACAGTTGGATCGGGGAGCTGAGGACAGAGTTGGTTGGAGATTATTAGAAATCGGCCTGTGCCCCAAGAGGAGTAACAGACTTAAAAAGTAAGGATATACATACAGAGAGAGCAGGGAACCAACATAAGTATGTCTCACAAATAATGAAATAAGATTACGAAATATAGCGGAAGGGAAGTGCAACCAAAAAAAATAAATGAACAAAAGTAAGTGGACAAGAATAGCACATCACAAGAAGTAGCTCAAGTTAAATTCCAACCAGAAAGGAACTGGGAAGTGACAATTTCGTGATGATAACTCCTGAGAACTTATAGTATGTCTTTTATTAAGCTATGGTCAATGAACTACCATCTCTTATACATAGGTTTTGCTCATATTATGGCATGGTGAAATACAATGTTTCTCGAAAAATAATATGGTAAAATTCCACGGGGTTCAACATCAAAACATTCTTTGGGTCTAGATTAATGGTTAAACTGATGTTATTTAACTGGTTTATTTCAAACAATATACAAAGTAAGAAATTATATATATATATATATATATATATATATATATACAGAGAGAGGAGTTTGAACATCTTAAAATAATAGGTAAGTAGTAACAGTTCTACACTGGAGTTTAATAATATAATGATGTGATGCCAGAGTTATTACATGATGATAGTTTCTGAGAAAATACAATCGAGCGTTTTGGAGTTTAAGTAAACTATTGCGAAAAGTTACCATGCGATTAATATATACTGAGAAATCGTTTGTTTGAACTACGAATATTCCAGATAAATTTGTGGTATTTATACAATCATTTTCAATTGTTTACTTCACTTCGCATAAAAGGACTTTGAGATTTAAATATTAAATCCCGAACAGAGTAACTGTCCTGATGGACTCAAGAAGTTCCAAACCCTAGTTTATCAGACAGTATAAGACCAAAGCCATCCATGCACTTAAAGATCATCGCAGCGACGTCTGACATTCATTTTATCTTCCCATGAATCTACAGTGTGATTTAAAAGTTCTGTGAACCATCGCAGATGCCAGTGAACTACAACCGTGTACATTATGTTTGGATATTATGTTCACAACAGCTGTTGGGATATGAAAAACATATGAAGAGATAGAAAATGTATACAGATCTTATGCTCAAAACCAGACTTTACACCTATCAGTCAAACAAACTAATGAGTAAAGATAACTGCCTTTAAGGACGTGAAATAAAAATATGCGCCGGTAATAAAAATGTTAGCAAGGTATATGAAAAATTAACGTACTATGATAACTCTTCAAAAGCGTTTTAGAGAGCATTTCAGTGTATAGTGTCAGCTTATGTTATTAGGTACTCGATCAGGGACCAAAGTATGCGACTTTGTAGCCAAAAGTGGACAGTCTGAATGGTAGAAAACAAAAAAAACTAATATGAGGTATAGCCAGTAAACAATATTCAGCACCAGTTGTATCCAAAGCTCCAGACAACGCACAAACTAAGTGAGAAATTACATACTAACCTCGACTAATGATCGCCTTGCTCAGCGTAACTGGATGGTGGAATGATAAATATTTACCTGTGAAATAGATAACTCCTAGAGTATTATTTATCAATGTGTCGACTCATGTGCGTCCTCAACAGGTTGGACGCTTAAACCGAAAGACCCTGAAAACGGCCTGGGAGAATTTATACAAAGAAGTTAACAAACAAATCTCAGGGAAGAGTATGAGAGACGACTTACTAAAGACTCTGTAGTGCCCAAAATGTCTGTTTCTCTACATAAATTGGATGGTAAAAACGGTACAGTTTACTGGCAATGGATGGAAATGATGAGCTTTTGAAGTGCATCCTACGGTACTGAAGGAATGCACATCTTTTGTCAAAAGTCTGTATATGTTTTAACCTGTCTCTAACTCAAGGTGAGTAACTAGGTGACTGATAGTATGGTATGGCAAGTTCTGCCTTGTAAATGGCTACATGGTACTCAATGAATGTAATTAGCGTAGCTGTCAAGATTTCAGAGATTATTTGTTAAGTGTCCAAATAAACACCTGATACTCTCTGAAGAGCTGCATGGTTTGAAAATAGGTTATTAATCTCTTGCAAACTTAGTGACTCAAAATCATTTGTGTGCTTCGAAACACCAGTGACAAACAAAGGAAACTCGAGTGAGCCGGAGCTTCATACAATCGTAGTAAACCACCCCCTGCACCGTAACCGAGTAAAACGACAGGATGAATGGAAGGGTTGTGTAACTTTCAGACTTTGGTGATTTGTCGTCTAGACTGATGGTACTTTGTGTATCGGGGATGTGACCGTAGCAGCAAAAGGGATAATTCGGGGGGGAACAAGAGGGAAAAAGAGCCTATGACTCAGAGAGAACATAGGGTACGCAATTAACAACCATCGAAAATTACACGGACGTAAGGTTAAGACAATTTGATCAGACCAGATCGATTCTGCCTCCATAACCTTGAGTGGATGTGTTCAAGACGGACATTATAAATTTGAAGTCCACTTCACACGCTGTCCTCAGACGACGCAATGCACGCTTATTGCTACGGATGTCTTTACTGTATTTCTTCTGGAACTCTTTCACAAAGTGATCCACCATGCGATTGTCAAAATCTTCACCTCCCAAGTGTGTATCACCAGCAGTAGACTTCACCTCGAATATACCATCCTCAATCGTCAAGATGGACACACCAAATGTACCTACCCCCAGTCTTCAGTAATAAGGATAGAAGGTCTGCTGACCTATATTAATCTTTGCAGGTCTTACTCGAATGTCAGAATTGTCGTGGCTGCGAGCGCTACTTAACAGATCACGTTGCTTCTCTGACCCTAGGATTACCTTAAATAGTCCATATGATCGGGGTTGAACACCATCGTTGGCCCTCTTACCTATTCTAACCAATTTCCTGACCTGAATTCCTTTAAAGTTACCTGTTAAGATGCTATGCATATATTCTTCGAGCTTCTCCAAATCATCGGCGTGTCTAATTTTGGCATCAGGATAGTTCGACTACAGCAAATTACTCACGGTAAAAGGCTCATAGCCTCTTGGATTAGTAACGTCCTATTTGTTCAGCAAAATATGCAAATCCAATGCGAGTTGGGCTTCGAGAATGTTTTGTATGCGGCGGGACTTAAACAGATATACATCTTATGGAACTACTTTTTACACTCATCACACTGCATTCTTTCATCCAAGGGAAAAACAGCTCGTTTGTCCACATTTATAAGTACTGACAAACAAATATGTACTAAACGGGATTCGTGTTAAAATTTGCAAATTCCTTTAGTAACCTTGGATACGTTTCGTCGAGTCCTATGAATTTGTGTACCTCAAACTCATTAAACAGACCAAAGAAATCGAGTACTTTAATGGTCACAGTGTGTGAGGGGGGGTTGTGTAAACTAAGGGTAGGTGTCTCTACGGTATATACATTTTTAAAGTAGTTTGAAAATGCCTGAACTTCACTATAGTCGTTCTTCACTAATGATGGAGCACTACTGCCTCTCCATAGTGCTGGAATATTTTTGCTTAATTTAGTCCTTGAATTTATATACGAATACAAACTCTTGAGGCATTCTATAGATTCTTTAAGTTTTTTCTTCGTACAACCTTCTAAACATACGGAGGGTCGAGGCACAAGTATTCCGAGCTTCTAGATATTGAGTTTTTGTCTTTCCCACATTCTCCTCTTACGGATAGGTGCAAAAACCTCCTTACTGAACCATAGGGGAAATTTTCTCGGACCCCTTGGTGTAGTTCAAGGGATGTGGGGTGCACTAACTTGTATGTGTTTGCATTGCTTGTCATAGACATGCCTTGCTGCTCCTCGGTTTCTCTTTTTCTCTTCAGAATCTTGCTTGTAAACCATCGTTATTGTGATCAAATTTATGGTGCGATTATTACATCTGACATTTTGAGAATCAATATCAATGCTTTAAAAAGCCACGTGTTTTAAGGAATGGATTTCCACAATAGTCTTTTCACAATTAACTAAACCTTCCTAAGATCAGCCTTCCACTGGGTTTTTATATATTTTTCATACGCTCCATGAATGCATCTTATAGTATATTGCTTCTCATAAAACAATCCTTGGGTTTGTAGAAGTAAAATATATTTTAGATCTCAATAATGTCAGTCTGCGCCATTTCAATGTATTGCTTGATAAACAATAACATGGACGGAGCAATTTAGCCTTCCTCCCTATAACATGACATCGGATTGATACATTTCTTTCTTACAGAAGTTATCTGGGGAACACTAATATGAAGCGTGTTGAAAATGGTATTTTCAAGCAAAACTTATACATCTAGAGCAATATTTCTCATTGTAAACACCTCTGAAATTCATTTGTATTATGTCTCGATCACCAGTCGTTTATTACAACACAGCGTCCGCAAAACACTCTGGCATTTACGTTGAATTTTCTAGATTTATCACCGTTAAGAAAATTCATATGCACCATAATTCCCTTACCAGTTTCTGTGGTTGTGTTGTCCCGTATCATATCAGCCCCACTGTATGATTCATCGAATGAAATCTCTTATTTTTTTAAAATTTCGATCTTACCTATAAACTGTCCTATCTCGTGTAACTGGTTATTTTTTTAATTATAAATTACGCTCATCTTTAAGTTAAGGTTATCGTTATTAGTCTGTTGTGTATTATGATACTGTCGAATAATTGGTTTCTGTAAATTCAAAAATCTGCTGTGTTATGTTGAGTTGAACTCGTCTGAAAATTCTCCGTTAAGTCATATCATTTATTGCATCTGTTTTTTGTGCCATAAAAGAACCATTTTCGGATTCTTTTAGAAGAACATCCATTTGCGCCACCGCCTCCTGGATTCCCTCTGACTCACGTTAATCACGACGTTCTGTTACTTGATGATTTATTTCCTTCGGAGATCACCTTAAATGGCTTTTAGAGCGATTTCATTTGTTGTTTATTTAAGTTCATTTGCCGCTAGCTTCCGTCGCTTTTATAATAACGGAGATAATTAGAGACAATTTATGGTTTTTGTGTTATCTGCATGGCTGTAGAGATGACAATAAACATTTTCGACCATGAAATAACAAAAATGAACCCTATTTAGATAATCTTTCAAGACAAATGTGTGATTCATTGAGGTAGTTTTTACAGCACGCTGAATACTTAGTAAAATGTGGTGGTCATGGGAGACCAGTGTGAGAACCTTGTTGAAGCCTTATGGCCCAGCCCCACAAAATTTCTAACTCGATATCCCTATTTTTCAATTTCAAATGCTCTTTACCGTAAGATTACATCTGTTGTCTGAGGTTCCTTGAAAACCAAGAAGCCTTAACTTCTAGTTGGTGCCAGTCCATGTGTAAAGTTATGTGACTTCGATGCAAGATCATATAGATTATGTAAGTGCATCATGGTAGTTCAGTTATATTAGGATAGAAATGTTATTCTACCAGCCTAAGCGAGTCCACCATAGTCCTCACCTTATAACATCCTCATTCTTCCGTATTACCTTTCTTTTGGCCATAATAAATATGACGGTATTGTGATCACCACTCCCTACTGGTATTCGAGCCTTGACGTTCTTGATTACATGCTAGTCTTTTGACACTGAGCAGCAAGTTTCAAATGACTTCCTGTTCACCCTCCATTGTGTTTTCTCCCCCACATTTCCAGCCATACCCCTCGTTTGACGTCAGTTACCAGCTCTTTATTGGACCATCCTGTGGTTGTCATACTCTCCATACTTAGACAACAGTGAGTGGTGCTAATTACCAGCGAAGAGTAATAACAATAATAATAATTTATTCTCAAATAACAGTTTGTTACATGAGGCATGCCGATTTACAGGCAAGATCAAATGGTCAAAGAAGTTACAATTTTCACTGTTGAACATTACTCAGCTGGGTTGATATTTCATAAGATATGAATGTAAATCGAAATGTAATCGAACTCTCGGTGTAATATTTGTAATACCGTTCATGATATCTTCCCATGCATTAACACTTGCAGAGGCACCATATATACATTCAGTCACGTAGTTAGCAACATTTAGACTGGAATGACACTCTCGAAACGCCTATAGACTGAAATGACACAAAATAAGTGGTGGTTTACTTTTATGTCGGTAAAAACTCATGATTTTCACCAAGCTGATATCAGCACCATTCAAAGAGTATTTGCAAAAGGAACAGTCAAGTTTGAGAAGATTGATTGATGGTTTGCAAGTTGAGTATTTAATGTATGATTCTTTGATTTTACTAAGACTTTCTGTAATTTTGATTTCAAATACATTCGATTGTCCGCACTGGTGTTCTTGTTCACTATAATAGTATTCTTGAAAAGAGCAAGAACAAATAGTTAAGTGTAGTAGCATGAGTTCATTTTGTTTCGTTAGGTTCCCATCACGGACCTAAGATGTATTGGAGTCTGTTCTGGAGATCAAGTGTAGAACCTTCTCTCTGTTCTACCAATGTTTATTCCCTGGTGTGTAGTTGTAAATTTATATATACATTCGAGGATAAGATTAAAGGAACACCTATTGGTCCATGATTAATGTAAAGAACATATGTCTCTGTATAAGATTCTCAGCTTGGATGCATGGTACGCTCCGGTCGGAAGGATTTTTAATCCTCTCTTTATTGTAGTTGCGACGCCGTTACCTTTAAATCAAAACTGAATAAACATAAGCCTTCTGTCTACTCTGGTCCCTTCGGGAGTTATGTGTTTATCACTCTAATGTTTGTCCGCAAATTTCTTCTCATACTCGTCGGTCCACAGGCATCTTGAGTGTTCATTAATTCTTATTCCAGTCTACTGGCAGTAAATATCCATTCAGCTTTGTGTGGCAGAGTCCAGATAAGTGTCTTTTTGCAGCTTATTAGACAGAAATTATTAAAATTCTGATGAACGCCATTCCATGTATCTTATCAGCAACTGTACCGTTGCATGGCAATATCGAAAAAGTGGAACCCATCAGTCTTTTTGTGCTAGATCGTCAGTGGAAAAGTTTGTGGTCTACTTTTTTTCGATCATTATGCACAACATAAACTTCGTTAACATACCTCGCATAATACACCATTTCATCAGTCTCTCCTTTAAGTATCATCTTTCCAATGTTAGCCATAATTACGTCTGTTAGAACAGGACTAAGTGGTCCCACTACTGCTGCTCCACCAGTTTGACAGCACATGAAGCCATATAATCAAAAATAACATCTTTCCTACACATAACTGGCAGTTGTTTGAGTTCTGATAGGCAGTATTTATTTAGTACTTATATGTAAGCTACACAATGTTGAAGGCTCAGAAATACTTAAAATTGCAAAGCTGCCTTTATGAAGCTTGTCAAGCGACTTGACGTGGTTCCTTTAACTATTTCACACCATGTTTGCAAAATATTGAGTTGTTAGACGTTACAGTTGCAATAACTAAGAAGCGAGCAGCTTAGTGAGATAGTTAGGCCTACTATACGACGTTTCAGCCAAGCTTTGA